AGCACAAGAAGGTGACATTCGGTCACCAATCCATAGGTTCATTCACAGATTCATCGCATGTTCCATCAACATGAGGAAAGAATATCACAAGGTTCCAAATCTTGATCTATTTTTCTTATGGAGCATTATCACACCCAACACCTTTTGCAACATATGTTACTGCTTGACAAAGTATTTGGCGGAGGGAGGAGTCAAGGATATGAAGGCATCACGGATTTGTGGGGGCATGTTTGTGAAAAAATTGGCAAGGTCATACGGGATATTTGAGAGAGGGACCGAAAATTTTCTCACAATAATGCATACAAGATTATTTAGCACTCTTCTCTATAAGAGGGCTACAATTATGGAAGGTAATGGAGGAGGAAAATTTTCTATTCCCGATGATGATGAAGCTTTGGTACCAAAACAACCAGGAAGTGGAGTTAGGCATCGACCCGCAACCATGCGTGAGGAGCCACCGGTAATTCCCGTTGAAGATGGACCCATACAACTTGTCCATGAGGGAATTTCAAAACAATTTGGCTCGTGGGGTGAATCGCACCAACATGACCTTGGAGTTTATGATGAACCAAATGAACATGCAACACCCTAATTCGCATCCTCCATATATGTGTCATCCATGTTGGGAGGATATTTGGAGAGCAAGACAAGGAGGAGAAGGAGTATGTAGAGCCGAAGGAGAGGAAGAAGATGATTTATTATCCTTTTCAATTTATTTTTGTTTAAGTGTTTGAGACAATTTTTATTTGCTTTGTGTGTTTTAATTTGTTATGGTTTGGTTATTTTGAAACTTTTAGTAATTTGTAATTTTAGATTTAATAGTTGTTTTTCCTTGTTATTATGTAGTAGATCGATTAATTAAAGCGTGATGCAAATAAAGTGAGGGTCGAATCATTTACGTGAAGATTTAAAGAGTTTGAGCAATACTTTGAGTCCGACGATTATAATTGTTAGAAGAGGTCATGTTACTGAAGAGGTGTATTGCATTAATACCCTCTTTGACCAAGAAATCGCAACTGAAGCAGAAATTAGAAATTTTATGATCAGAGGCTTCAACTCGTCGAGGTCATAACACAACTTGACAAGTTCTAGAGGAAATACATGATTTCTACCCGAATTACGATCCAACACGACGAGTTTTCCCACTACAACTCGGCGTGTTGCTACTCCGTCGACTTTTTTTTTCGAGTATTGATTTGATTCCATTTGAGGCGGGCATTATGCACATTTATGAAGTCCATTTCTAGGCAATTCCAAGAAGCTTTTTCCAATATATTAGGAGCTATACCACACGAGACGTTTGACAACCAAGACATGGATGAGTGTTCTGATGCCATGGTCAACTAAAGAAGGAGCTCAAAAAAGGAAATATCAACCTTGCCACTTCTATCTCATGGGAGTCTGTTCCACTTCTCTCTCTCTCTTTTTTTTTTTTTTTTACTTTTATGTTCTTTAAATGTTTTACTATGCAATGGAGACATTGCATAAATTAAGTGTGGGGTAGGGCGTTGATTACATTAGTTACATTAGAATCCTAGGCACAAAATTAAAAAAAAAAAAGTTGCATAAAAATTGCTAGGTTAATTTAGAAAATTTTGGTAAAGCAATTAGGATTTCATGCTAATATTGTTTTTGACGATTCTTTGAGGACTTAAATGTTTAGTTGAGCCAATATACAATATAGTGCATTTATGGCCCCTTTATTCTGGTGAAATCATGGAACAAAAACACACCCTTGCTTAATTTGAGGGACGCAATATGTTTAACATGTGTAACAGAAATGTATGCAAGAAAGCTTAAGTAGTCATTGCACATAAGACTAATGCCTTTAATTAATAAATGATGAAGTTATAAACCCTTGTGTAAGTATATGTTTTTCTAGGTTTTTAGTTTGAGTGAAAAAAGTTTGGTTGAAAAAAAAAATTTGGTTGAAAAAAAATGTGTTGAAATGTTTGAAAGATTCTTCAAACTATGAAGACGTGAAAAAGAGCTACAAAGTATCAAAGATTCAAAGCTAAAGTTGTATTTTTATTTTTATTGTAATCTTCTTTTCTAGGTTATTTTTCTGTATGTGTGCTTGGGAAATATTCATTGCGATTAAGAAAGTTTTCTACGTATAGACTCGGAGAGATGCATAAAATGAGCGTTGTTCAGAAAAAGTGGGTCAGTGTTTATGAATATTGTGAGTATTTAGGGTTAGGGGGTCCTTAGGAAAAAAAATTAGATACAAATGCACGCGTTGCGGTCTTCGCATAATGGTTGGGTTCAATTGGGGTTGTCTTACTTGGTATTAGTGTGTTAAAATTCAGTTTTGCTTGAGGGAAAACAAAATTCAAGTGTGAGATATTTTGATATGGGCATATTTAGTTATAAAATTCATGCATTATCTTAATACTTTGTGTTGTTTTTGTCTCAAATAATGGACAAATGGTACATAATTAGTTTAAAATCTCATTTCAACAACAAAGACATGCTCGGAAGGAAAAGGAAGCAGAATTGGTGATTGGAAGCTTGGATCTTGGATTTTGAAGAAAGAAGGATGTTGTTGGATAGCTTAACCCCTCATCATCGTTTTGGCCATATCTCATGACTCATAACTCCGATTGACGAGATTTTAAATGTTCTGAAAAATAGACACAATTTCGGACGAATTTTGTGTTTTGAGAAATGTTGATTCCAAACTAACTTAGCGAGTTTGGGTCCTCCAACTCTCCGTGTTAAATAGAAGCTTCGCGATTCTTGACGCTGACTTGGGGAATACGGGATTTTAATGACCAACTCGCCGAGTTGCGCCATTTTTCGGAATTTATTTAGGGATCGTTTTCATTCGAAACCCTAACATTTGTTGGAGGCTTTTATCGCCTTTTGGAGGCCAGATACATTCGCAAGAAGCTTTGGAACTTAGAATTCGACTAGTGGTTAATATAGAAGAGATCAAAGGCATTTAAGCATCACTTTTCTCTTAATTCTTTGCGTGAATCATGTTTTCAACATTGAATTTCGTATTTATGGTTTTATTTGCTGAAGTTATGGGCTAAAACTCTATACTTTTGTTTAGACTTGATGATCTTATAAATATGGTTTGATTGGTGGCTTTGGCTTATATTGATTTGGTTATTTATCTTGTTAATTTAACTTGTTAAAAGATCCTTATGTTTTAATGATAATTATTTTTTGTTAATGACTAAGTATATTGAGTTGTTTTGACATCTACTTGATTACTTGAATCTTATGGTTTTATGAAAACAAGATTGTATGCCTAATGGTATGAACATAACTAAGGTTAACTAGAGAATAAATTAGTTAATGTGTGAGCATATGTGATGACCAACCACATATGAGTTAATTGAACCAACCAACTTGATTAGCTATTATTACAAGTCTTACTTGATTTGAATTGAACACTAGTAAACTCTTTAATTTAATCGTTTGATCACTACTTGAATTGATTTGTTTGCTAAAGGATTATAACAGTGTACATGAACCTAATCAAATTAGAAATCGGTGACTAATGATATATTAATTGATTTCACTTGCCACGAAATTAACCATAGGAATAAGTGAATCGAATCTAAACGGACGTTTCTTTAATCTTATTGAATCTAGTTGTCTTTTGTTTCTTCTTTAGTTGTTAATTCCTTTTTGCTAAAGTATTCAAGTTATTACTTAAGTTTTTATTCTTGCAAAACTAGAGAAAAAATATTTTTAATAATTGTTTTATTTAGATAATATTAGTAATATTTTAATTGTTTACGTTCCCTGAGTTTGATACCTTACTTGCGTACACTAAATTGCTAATCGATAGGTACACTGTCTTCCGTGTGTTTTTTTTATTTTTTATTTTTTTTTTGTTTTGTTTAAGTTAGTTGGGATGAAAACTAGTACATTTCTCACATATCAGTCTTCTACATCGACCATTGTTTGAATGCTTTCGTGGCATATTCCTGTTAGTCCCTGACCAATCAGCTTGAAGGGGGATAATAGTTGTAAATTAGTTGTACATAATGAAGTCAAGTCTATATGTATACCGATAGGAACTTAAATTAATCAACCATTACGATAGAAAGCTCCTTATTCATAGGAGCTAATTCTTTTTAATGTGTGTATTTATACCTTGTATCACTTTTCTTTCGTGGCATATTCTTGTTAGTCCCTGACCAATCAGCTTGAAGGGGGATAATAGTTGTAAATTAGTTGTACATAATTAAGTCAAGTTGATATGCATATCGATAGGAACTTAAATTAGTCAACCATTATGCTAGAAAGCTCCTTATTCATAGGAGCTAATTCTTTGTAATGTGTGTATGTATACCTTGTATCTCTTTTCTTTTCAATTAATTTTGAACATAATTAGCACTGCCTGTTAAAAGTATTAAAATAGTTACAAACTTATCATTTGTGTAATTATATTTTGATGCAGGGTATATTGTGTTAAGTTATATTATTTGTACGGGTTGAATATGTGTGTTTGTGTATAGAGTTGGAATATGTTCGTAGATTGTTAACCCGAACCAGATCCATGGGCTATCCATGGGCCCATGGGTTGTATCTTGCCCCAAGTATTTAAAGAGTAGCTAAAGCTTATTTTCAGTATAACTCAAGGCTTTTCTAATTGATATTCTCTCATTCATTCTCTTCGTCTTCAGAAGAGGGTTTTCATATTAGGGTTTCTGTATAAACACATTTAGGTGTTTGATTCCTGTAATCATCTGAGAGTTTGAGTGTGATTGTAGTGAGATATTTATTTTGTATTTATATGATGAAAACCAACTCTTTCATAATGAATAGAATATTGATGTTAGGAATATGTTGAGTTCTTGAGGTCAAAGTTTGTTATAGCATTCTTTCACCAAGCTTGGATTATTACCATATCCTCTTGTTTAGGCAGCCTTGTTAGATATGGTTCACATGCCTATCACATGCTTACAAGTTGTAAAGTTAATGAACTATCAAAATATGTTAGAAGTTAGTCGCCTTTGAAATTGAAAGACACCATGTTTCTTAATTATTCATTGCAGTTTCTCTTGTAAGTGTTCATTCAATCAATGAGAAAAACCTCTCCGTACTGTTTTATCATTCAATCATAACAGTTAATAACTCCATTTTTGGTGCAACTTACAAAATCATATGAGTTCTAGCTCATTGCACTCTATGTACACTCAATTCAAACACAGGCACAATGATTTAAAGAAAATTTTGTTGGAGAGACACCAAGAGATTTGACAGAATTCAAGGACCTCGCACTGGGCCAAAACAGAAACACCCAGCAGCAGCAACTTGATCTTCAGGTATCATACCTCCGCCCTTAGTGGTATCAATGGCTTCTAGTAACTTCACAACTTCAGGCATCTCTGGGCGCTTGTCAGGATTTGCATCCCAACATCTCCTCATTACGTTTGCTAAAGAACTCGGACAACATCTTGGTATTTCCGGCCTCAGATTCTAAAAAATTTTACACAAAAAAATTAAAATTAAGTGACAAACGTGTGGAAAATAGTATCTTAAAAAGAGCAAACAGAAGTAGTTGGCCTACATGACGAACAACTGCTGACGACACTTCAGCAAAACTGAGAAATGGGTATGGAAGATCACAACAATAAGTTTCCCATAAGCATACACCAAAGCTATAAACATCACATTTTCTGTTATAAGGCTTTCCTTCAAGAACCTGTGGAAATTAACACATTTTGGATTTTTCATATTAGATGTAAGAAGATCAAACTTAATATGACACTTTATAAAGCTCAATGATTAAGATCACCTCAGGAGCCATATAACCTAATGTTCCAGTTTCACCCGTCATATCTTTGGGATTCTGAGCTTCAACACGAGCAACACCAAAATCCGCAATTTTGAGCTTCCTATTACTATCTAACAACATATTTTCGGCTTTAACATCACGATGCACAATCTTCTTTGAGTGGAGGTAGCTCAATCTGCAAAATTGCTACATTCATTAACGACTTAAAGGATGTACTTATGATACAATAGAAACTCACCCTCTTGCAAGATCCAAAGCGAGTTGAATAACAATTTTGTACGGAAGCTTCTTCTTCCTATTCCTGTATAATAATCCTTTTAGGGTTCCGCCTCTAAGAAATTCTACCACCACACAACAAGCCTTTGATGGAAGTTCAGTAGGATCATCGCTTGAGTTTTTAGCAGGTATCTTGAGATTTGAAGTCCCCATTGAAGCACCAATAAACTGAAACCCACTTTATGATAGTTAATAACACTAAAAGAAAAGAAAGTAATTTTGGGCATCATATATATTATATAGGGAAAATGACTTAAAAGCCAATGAAGTTTCCAAATTATTCAAAAAACCTCAATCATGTTTTCTCTGTTCAAAAAAACCCAACGAACTTAACATTTTGTCTAAAAAGTCCAACAAATTTCCAAACCGTTTAGAAAAATCCAATCTTGTTTTGTTTAAGTTCGTTGGGTTTTTTTTTAAACAGTCAAAACATGATTGGAGTTTTTTAAACGTTTTGGAAACTTCGTTGGTTTAACAAGTCATTTTTCCGATACGGTAATAAGCCACGTCATTTGTTTCTCTTATTTGACTTTCAGCAAGTGTAACTTAGTTGGACTTTTTAGATAAAATGTTAAGTTTATTGGGTTTTTTTGAACAGACAAAATATAATTAGGATTTTTTGAACGGTTTGAAAATTTCATTGGGCTTTTAAGTCATTTTCCCTATTATATATGCATACAAATATGTCTGAGTACGTACACTAGTAACATTTGGATGATCTAACTTTTGCCAAACAGCAACTTCTTGCTGGAATGATGCTCGTAAAGCCGCGAGTTCATTAGTTGTAGCCATGTCATCCTCTCCCCAATCCAACAGTTTCACTATATAATACAATAACGATATATTTGTATAATGTTGAAGCATAGAGAGGAGATAAAAATAAAAGGAAAAGGTTTTCATCAATCATCACTAAGTTATTTCCTCTCATACCCTAGAAAACTTTAAAAGAAACTAAGCTTAATTCAATACACTTTAAAAAACCTTAGAATCGATTTTCACGACAACTTAGAGGTCACGTGTTCGAATCACATGTTTGTGTGTCGCTCACATGATCACTACAGATGTACAGTTTTGGATGGATGTTTTCTAACATGGCTATGCAGTATGCACTACCATTAATTGTCAACACCATAGAAAGTTAGTTTTTTTTTCTTATATTACCAAATCTACACAAGATAATCGTTCGAGGGTGTCCCACATTCCTATATGCTCATTTTGGATATGACCTAAGAACAATGAGAGTTCTTGTAGAAGCAAGAGAAAACTACATACCAGCAACATCTTGCCCATCATAAGTGCCACGATAAACCGTTCCATAAGCTCCACGAGCAATAAGATTCCTTATTTCCAACTTAGCCAAATCAATCTCCCATGGTTCTTTTGGCCTATTAGGTTCTACATTTCTTGACCAAGCTCGGCTCAGGTGCTTCTCTAGGTGCACATCCAAGCATTTGAGATCAATTTCATCAGCCCTAAACAACATGTCATTGGTGCTTGCAGATTTCTTGCACTCCCCCAACGTGTCTTTCTCTCCAACACTTTCCACGTTTTTCAACTTTGATTCAGAAACCTCGGGATTTGGGTTGTCTTCGATTTCCCCATTTGTTCTAGAATCCATTGTCTGTAAACACAAAGGTTAATTATTCACAAAGATAAGAAATTGATATAATGTTTTTCAAAGATGACTCTAAATGCAACAAATAGGATGAATAGATGGAGAAAATAGAATATTACATACGGTTTATGTATATTTATAAAGGTTCATGGATAGAAACCTATACTTTCATCATGGTTTACTTATGATTGGCTTATCATGTAAAAGATTGAATCATGCATGCATGTTTCGATCCAAGGATGATTACATGACATGTACCACCACATGTCAACATTAAGAGACAAAAAGTGAACACGCACCTTGCTTAGAAATTGTAAGATAAAGATGGAAATGACAAACACCTTGAATTCAAAACTTAAAACCAGGAACTTTAAATGTGTGGAGAGTGAGAGACGAGACAGATGGGAAAAGGGAAGAGAGAAACAAAAGTTGACTGCACCTAAATAATTGGTGAAAGAGAAAGAGATAGTAGTGGCTCAGGAGTCACATGATGGATTACGCCAGAATGAGAAAATTATGGTAACAAGTTTGAAGATTAACATCTCGATATGAAATTAGCCTTATATTTTGCGAAATCTGTGGGATAAAAAAAAAACTAGAGGTATCGAAATGTGTGAACCATAGCTTCTAATCTCATTACCTCACATACTTCGAAAAATAAGACGCGCCTTTTATCTCATAAATATCATTTTACCCTTTCTTGCAAGATTTTCTCGATCAAGGGACTACAATTATTCTAAAAAGGATATGAGACTATTCTCGCTACAAGGCAAAGTACTTGATATGTCTTTGCTACAATTCAACAACTATCATGTTTCCTCAATGGTATCTTATTTCCATCACAATAAATAGTTTTTTTTTCCTAAACGTTATTAAAATATATAAAAACTGATTATCTTTAGCAAGGACACGTCCTCCTCTTTAAAGTCAACCAACAGAAATCAAGTGTAAGCAAGGAATCTGCGATCTTACTCTTTGGGTACAAGGTGCAGACGTAAAAACAGAGCAGAGGAAAAGAGGCACAAAAAAGTGGAAGTATGCTGAATACTTGATCTCCAAGGTTTTATTAAGGAAAACAAAGGGAAAGACCAAATAAAAACATCATCTGTTACAGCCTATTTATACTAAACGGAAAATTGAAAGTTTGATCTCTTAAGCCACTCATGATCTATCGGAGTTCCTTGCTCGTCTTTTTTCGGCTCATCTTTTGGTTATATCGGATACCAGGATGGGGTTGTAATCAGCCATGCCCGTCTTCTTAAGCTAACTCTTCGAGCAGACGGTTTGCTTCAAGCTAACTAATAGGCTATATTTATTCAATATAGTCAACTCCTAATTTAGGATATTATTGTGTATCAATTTGTATTACTTATATAGGTTATTCTTTGTAATTATATATTGAGTCCTTTATGATAATAAAACTCGTTCCGCTAAAATTATCCCTCTCTATATGGTATTAGCGAGATAAGCGATTCTCATCTTTCCCCATCGCTAATCTCAAACCCTATATCCATCCGGTTGAGCTCGGCCATGTCGACTCAGCTTCAACCAATTCAACCCTACCCATGAATACTCTTCTTCATATGCTTACTATTAAATTAACCGCCTCCAATTATTTATTATGGTGAAATCAAGTTCTTCCCCTTCTAGAGAAATTAATCATGGTTGAAGGTAAATCCATCACAAATACTACTTACTAATGTGAATTATGAGCATTTGACTTGGCAAACAGAATTAAAGAACACAAAAAATACGGTGATTTGAGTGCTAAAAGATGTATTCGATGATAGGATTGAGCACAAAAAGGGTACTAGATCTAGAAATCATAAATATCACATTCAGTAGTCACTATGAACTACATCTCTCAAGCACACCTCTACAAGAAGTATGGAACCCACCTTATATAAACGTGTTTACATCTCTCTCTCTCTCTCTCTCTCTCTCTCTCTCTCTCTTTCTCTCTCTCTCATGTCACAATGCTATACTATCACATGTAAGCGGGTCTAAACGAGTCTCTCTCTCTCTCTCTCATGTCACAATGCTATACTACCACATGTAAGTGGGTCTAAACGAGTCAAACCATTACAAAGTCATACATAGATAACTTTATACCCTAACATTCTCCCCCTCAAAGTTAGGAATGCATGACCCGCTTCAAATCTTCCAAAATCGAGCAAATTCACGAACCAAGCCTCAAGCGTAACACATGTAGAAATGAACTTCAATTCTTCAATGATTTTCTAATCCGGGTTCTAGAGTGTGAGACTGTAACATCCCCATCTGGCACCACATGTAAGTGGGTTTATACAAGTCAAACAATTACAAAACACTACAATAAATTAGAGTATTACCGGCGATAGGCGTCAGCGCTAAAAGTGGGGTTTGTCGGCGCTAATACTATTAGCGGCGACATCTCGCCGCTAAAGGGTCGTCGCTAATAATCAAATTGTTGCCGCTAATGAGTGTTGTCGCCGCTAATAGCACCGTCACCGCAAATAAGTTCTTGTCATCGCTAAAGCACCGTCACCGCTAACAACCAACTGCCGCCACTAAAGGCGTCGCCGGTATTGGTGTTTTCCTTTATATATATATATATATATATATATATATATATATATATATATATATATATATATATATATATATATATATAAACCGTATAAAAAGTATAAAAACTGGTATGATATTAATTAATCTAATCCAACATCCATTTAAAATATTCGTCTAATTTAACATATAACAAAATATCGAAAATACTAGTCTAAAATACTTACACAAACAAAACATAAGAAAATCCTACAACTATCTACTCGTCATCATCGCTCTCCTCATTTCCTCCAGTTTCATTTCGTTGTTACAACGAGCGAAACCAATCTTCAAGTGCAGCACTACATGTCGGATCTTTTAACATTATTTGAAGCATTTACAAGTGTTACAAATAAAACAACGTAGTCTTATAAGTTAAACTAGCATTATAACATTCTATATACAAAATATACATTCCACATACAAGCAAAGTACAAAAAATATAGCATTGAACAATAACTAACAATTACCAAACTACAAAATACCATTATAGCATTGTACTTTCATAAACTAACAATTATCAAATTACATATATTGCATATAAATCATTATAGCATTGTACTATAACTAACAATTACCAACCTACAAAATACCATTGCATCATTGTACTTTCATAAACTAACAATTACCAAGCTACAAAATACCAATATATCAAACTATAACAAAACTAACAAATACCAATATATCAAACTATAACAAAACTAAGAATTACCAATATATCAAACTTATTCTACAAATACAAAAAAGTTAGTTAGTTAAATACCAATCAGAACTAAACTTAATATATTATCCAAGTTACGTTTAGATGAACCACCATGACATTCCTTAAAGCGGGGGAAACATTGTCCCAACCAGATACGTTCAAAGGGATGTTCATCCACATATACCTCTCAATCTCACGAGTAAACCAATTACCACGGTTCCCGACAGGGGAATATGTCAACTCCCTATCGAAATCCAAGTCCACAGGCTTTCCCTTGTTTGCCCGTGTCAGCTTTGATAGTTGGATATTTTTTGCTAGGCCTCTTCTTTTTTTAGGGAGCTCAGCTGAAAAATATAATTAAAAATATTAGTCACAATAGCTTATAATAAATGGATAAAAATAGCTAATAAATATATTATAATAAGACTTACCATCCCGTTCGTGTTGTCCACAACCAAAGCCTACTAGAGGTGGTGGATCCCCGACTCTATCACCTCCATGTCCTAGGCCCATAACATCCGTCATCATGTAGAAGAGTATCACCCAACTAAATCCCATATATAGCCTGTAAAATTACAATATGAATAGAATTTACACATATTACATATACAAAAATAATACACTTTCTATTATAGCATCCTACTTTGTTTTTTTTCATTATAACATTGTAGTTTCCAATTTGCATACAAATACATACACAATATAGCATCATACTTTTTCCTCTATAAATACACAATATAGAATTTAGAGAACTTTAAAAGTCTACAAATATAATTAACCAAAATAAATGCAAACTATAACCTTTATAAGAAATACTTGTATACAATACATTAAATCCCAATTTTCATTTCATTTAAGACATACAATACAACATCATACATTATATCACGTACCATTTTAGACATCAATTTTCAATTTCATACAAAAGTATAAATGTAAATACAAAATCATACAAACCATGCGTAATTCCAGTTTCATCCCAATACATCACAATGTACATAAACACAAATCAATTATGCAATAGGTTGCATAAATATGAGAAAACATATATAATGTCACAAAATCCATAAAGTAACATCAAAACACAGAAACACAGAAGGACTTGGTAGCCCTCAAAATCACTAACCAAACAAAATCTTAGAAAACATATAAATCAATGCTAAAACCAACATTAAAATAAAAAGAAGAATAGAAATTAGGGAAAGAATTTGACCTTAGATTGCTCAATTTTTCAAAAACGTAGTTGTGTCGTTGGATGCCCTCTTGGTCGTTGGACACCGGTAATAAAGGACTTGTTGCCGGTAGTGAAGGTTCGGTCAGCGGCGAGTGTGTGGCAACAATCAGTGGTGGCTAGTCGGAATTAACAGGGAAGGCGATGGGAGGATTGTGAGAAGAAAGAGGCAGATGAAACAAGAAAGAACGAGGGGGGTTATCTGATGCAAAGCAATAGCGGCGACGCTCATGTATTAGTAGCGTCACTCCTGGAGGGAAAAACAGTGCCTTTTTTATGCTTTTACGACCGTTGGATGGAATACTAATCAGACGGACATGGTTCATTTCACACGGATCACTACTGTGTTCGCAATAACGGTGACGCGATGCATTAGCGACGACATGTGACGTGATGTGTGTAAATTCAACTAGTTTTATCCCTACGGTTTTATTGATAATTTAAGCACACAAAGGCAGTGAACCTGTCTTTAAGTGGTATAGATTGATAAGTAAGGTATCGAACTCAGGGAACGGAAATTAAACTAAGAGCTAATTTTAACTAAAACAAATAATAAAAGTAAATGGTTTTTTTCTCTATTTTTGCAAGACTAGAAACTTAAACAACTAAATTAACTAATTAACTAAAGCAACAACTATTCACCAAATTTGATAAAGATGTTTCTATTTAGGTTCAACCAATTCACTCCTATGGTTATTTAAATTAAGGTAGATTAATTGCTATTGGTTACCAATGATAATAGTTAGGTTCATGTTCATTACTCCTAACCCTTAGACAATTAACTAATTTAAGCGTTGATCAAGTGTTTAAACTAATTAATTCCCTAGATTAATTATTTGGATTAAATAAGATTTGTAATGGTCAATTAAGTTATAATTCAATTAACCTCTTGTTGATGGTTTCTCAAACAAGCTCACACATTAATCTTCCTATTTTCTTATTAATCTTAGTTTCATACTCATTACTTCCAAGCATACGTTTTAGCATTCACATAGACATATGAGGTTAACAATTAAGTGATGTTCATGCAACCTAATTGCCTTCCAATTAACAGAAAATAGTAGTGATTAATACATAAGGTTCTTTAACAAACTTAATTTAATAAATCACCAATAGACAATTAACAAAATTCAATAATTAAACCATAGGAGTTCTTTGGTATTCCCCAAACAGAAACAAAAACGAGTTTAGCTCATAGTTGTAGTAGAAACAAGCATAAAAACAAAGTTTATGAAAGCAAACATGTTTAATTCCTAAGTCTAAGTGGTAGAATTAACCTAATTGCTTGAATTCTTCCAACTCTTGAAGCTTAGGGTTCCTTAGCGCCTTCTGAACCTTTTAGTCGCAGCTAATCCTTCAAAATTCGCCAGGAGTTATTTCCCATGAGATAAGGATTCGTCTTTTAAAGATATCCCAAAACAGAGGGTACTCGGCGAGTAGCAGAATCAACTCGCCGAGTAGGTCAATACTTATCCGTCTTTAGATTAGCAGTCGTATTTATCTTCTGGCATACCATCGTGTACTCGCCGAGTATGGTCGATCTACTCGCCGAGTAGTCAGTCTTTTCACTCTTTAATCTTCACTTGCTTTCCCTTTTCTCCTTTTGCCTCCAAGCATATCTTTGGACTGAAAACACAATTCAAAGCATTTTAAGTACCTTTTGTCCATATTATTTCATAATTAACCAAAAATAACTAAGAATATATGTTAAATAATTAACTAATTATG